AGCTCTTTTTTGTTTTTGACGACAGAACAGTACAGAAAATCGTTTTTTCTGAGTTTCGGGAATACTGAGACAGTTTGAATACCAGTAAGCTCAAACTTGTTTTGTTTTCGTGACATCTCTTAGGCTTCATTTGGCAGCCGTTTGTTTTTGTTACTCAAAGCGGCAGCATTTCCGTACGACGAAGCCGCTGGCTGCTGCTGCTGCTGCTATCGTCGTAAATGTAGAACATTTATTTTCGTGGGCCCCCAATCTTCTAGATGGCTGTTAGTTGCTTTCGTATTTCAATTAATATAAGTCAGACCAAGATAAAGAGCCCTAGACCGCTCCATGTCTATCCCATAATCGATAGTGGTAAAAGGTGGAGAATTCATTTTCCTCCCTGACCAATTCGAATTTTCGGCTGGGTGTTGTTTAATAGTTTCGAATTTCCCCAATTAAGATGTCCTATTAATCAAATGAGACTTTAGGTCCTTTTATTTACTCGCCAGTTTACCGAGCTGTCGTCCATCCGCCGTTGTCTGTGATAGTTACGTAACAATAAGCCCCTTCCTCGGACCATCCCGTTTTATTCCGAAGACGACATCGCCCGTTCCGTTGCTTCCCTATTAACACAGCCATAATTCTTAAGCATACCGTCTTCTATTGATTCGCCTCAGGACCTTATGCGGTGATAGGTTTTTGTGATCTTTTTTCCATCTTTTGGGAATTCAGTCTTTTTTAATGCGAATTTTCACCTGCTTCTTGTCTACTTTTGTGGAACTATCGATTTTTGTCTTTTCTATGGCCGCTAATATAAAGGAGGCATAGCGCACTGGTATGTGGTATGAATCTCGGTGGTGCACCAGGATGACCCACAGCCTGTTGGATCAGTTTTTGCAGCCGACGCGTCTGAATGGACAACAAAGCACTTTGTTTTCTATATTTGCTAATAACTCCTTGGCTCCTTCCATTTCAATGTTAATATTTCTTAACGTCAGATGCGTGGCACCCTCTGGACGTTGGACTTTTTCTATAAACTCTAATCTTACACTTGCCGCTCCAATAAAGTTCGCCATTATGGTGAAAAAAGATCCTTCAACCTTGCTATGGTCGCCTTCTGAGGTCCTTTATACTCGAAGAATTACCTGTTTCGGCGTATCTTTCCTCTTATCCTGATTCATCTGATTACTAACAATCATTACCAGGAAGTGGGGTGAAGAGCCACTAATCTTCCCAAGTCCAAATATTTTGGGAACACTCGAGTTGACGTCTCCCATTCGAACATGTTGACTAGAAAGGAAGCCATTATTTTTCGGCTTGAGTCATGCGATAGATGATCAAGGGACTCTCGGGGGTAGGGTACATTCAGTGGGGCTGCTGCGTGGGTGGTTGAAAGCGGAACACTCCAAGGGATGCCCGTAATCAAGAAATTAAAACGAGGAGGGGCTAAGTGGGGTCGCTTGTAGAATGAAGCCTGCCTTTATTGGAAATGAGCAGGCGTTTCCGTTTTCCGCTTTCCGAGAGTACACATGGCTGAGATATGATTATAATTTTATGATATTTTCTCCGGGTTCGTTGAAGATGTTGATCCTATTAGTACTTTTGATAAGCTTTTGGGGTTGAATAGGTTCTGTGATGATTTCCTTCTCGTTGGAGCTTGTGGGAGTTCAGCCTCAGCCGGGGAATTCCTCTGCCTCAGATT